GAGGTTGAATGTCAGCAAAACCTGCAAAGAAAATATATGAATTGAAATTTGCTTATTGCATAAGCACTCAGTCCTCTAAGTCAGTACTTGGTGGAAGCACCTTTGGCAGCAATTACTGCTGTGGGTCTTTTTGGATAGGTCTCTATCAGCTTTGCACAGTGGGATGGTGTAATTTTTGCCCTGACAAGATTCCTCCAATTCTTACAAGTTCGTTGGGAATCGTTGATGAACTGCAATCTTCAAGTCTCGCCATACATTTTTCACTGGATTCAAGTCAGGACTCTGACTAGGCCACTCCATGAGATTCACTTTCTTCTTCTGAAACCACTCCAATGTGGCTTTGACCTTGTGCTTCAGGTCATTGTCCTGCTGAAATGTAAAATTTCGATCCAGTTTTAGATTCTTGGCTGACTCAAGCAGGTTTTCCTCTAGGAATCGCCTGTACTTTGCACCATCCATCTTCCCCTCAGTCCTGACTAGCTTCCCAGTCCCTGCTGATGAGAAGCATCCTCATAACATAATGCTGCCACCACCATGCTATTGTTGAGATGGTGTTGACTGGGTGATGTGCTTTATTGGGTTTGCACCAGATGTAATGCTCTGAATTTAGATCAAAAAGCTCAGTTTTTGTCTCGTCTGACCACTAAACTTTCTGCTACATGTCTGCAGTATCATTTACATGTTTTGTCGCAAACTCCATACAAGATATTAAGATGATTTTTTTTCAGCTTTGTATTGGGACCGGGATGTTGTCGATGTATGAACATTGACTCCCACCTCAAACATAAAGCTTTGCAGATCTTTCAACGCCACTGTTGGCTTCACAGTGGCATCCTTAATCAGTTTCCTGTTTGTTTGGCTGCTTAGTTTGAAAGAACGGCCTAATCTGGATAGTGCTAGGTGGTATGTAGCACGTTCCACTTCTTAATGATGGACTTCACCGTACTCAAAGGGATAATCAGCGACTTGGAAATTTTCTTGTAACCTTTTCCTGATCTGTGCTTCTCTACCACTTTAGCCCTGACTTGTTTATAAAGCTCCTTGGTCTTCATGATTGGTTTGTTGTATCACTATATGAGTTGTGGCTTGAACAGATGCATTTACTTTAAAGTCAATTACACTAATTTTGTGACCTGTGAGATGAATTTTTTGTACCTAAACTGATTTAGGGTTGCCATAGCAGAGGGTTTGAATAGTTGTGCAATTGATAATATTATAATTTTCTTTGAAAATCTAACTTACTTACATAATATCAGTGTTTTATAGCTTTTTCAATTTGTAGTAGATTGTGTAGAATCTACATATAAAGTCCCATTTGAAAGTTTCATGATTGGAAGCTCAAACGGCAACAAAATGTGGAAACTTTGCAGGGGTGAATACTTTTGCAAGGCACTGTATACATGGAAGGGTTAAATTGACAATTATTTTTATAATGATATTCTGATAACAAAACACGAAGCTAATATTTATCATTAGTAGTTAAATGTGTAACCGAAACAAAGTTGTAACAGAATATGGGATTTTTCTATCTTAAATGATCCGTCGAATTATTAACTTACTGAAATTTATATAATCTTGAGTTTTCAAGAATGCTCACTGTTTTAGATTGTGAAGTCTGGAAACATCATCTGTGTTTAAGTATATAGTCCAAAGCTCGTGAAATTTCATTTAGTCGTAATGATTTTTATTCTTAAAAAACAATTATTTTTCTCTCACATGTGACAGTTTAAAATCTTGTGGTATGTTAATTCTATTCTGATATAAATATTTCATCACGAAGCAAAACTTGATAATATAGCATAAATAGATGTCATGACCTTTTTTTAGTGAGGTATTGTGTGTTTAGAATATTAGGTTTTGTCTTGTTCGTGTTTAATTTCACGCAAAGCTACACGAGAGTTATGTGCACCAGCCTTCCCTAATTCAGTAGTGATAGACTAGAGGGAGGCAGCTAGTCAACAACAACCACTGCCAACTCTTGGGCTACCATTTTATCAACGAATAATAAGATTGACCGTCACATCATAATGCCCCCACGACTGAAAAGGCGAGCATGTTCAGTGACGAGGATTCGAACCCGTGACCCACAGATTGTAAGTCGAGCACTGTAGAATATAAATAATTTATTTTTATATAAATATATTCATCACGTATAACTAAAAGATACACAGCATTAAAACTGGAAACATGTGAATGTATTGTT